GCGACTCTCACTGTCTCACATAAGCAAAAACTCAAAACTTTGTATAGAGTATGTGAGAGAGAGATCAAAGCCTGGACAATCATCTACATAAGGAGNGATCTGAATTTCATTGTCCTCCTTTGGTAGAAAATGCAAAATCACGCGAGTTTCTGGACTGTTCGAACTCAGGTCTTGTAGAAGACACTTTCCGAAGTTGGTCTGGGAGATAAAATCTAATTCAAGCTAGAAGACAGAGAACAATAGGCTCTATGAGCATTAAAGCAGACTTCTCTTGCACAATAAAATTGTGAAGCACAAAGAAATTTACCTCGGGTTCCGCAGTTGGTTTCGAGCAAAAGAACCATATGACTGGCTCGGGCTTTGTTTAGCTGATATTTTTGAAGAAAATGGCCGATGATCGATAAATGCTAAGTGTTCATGGCGATTAGCTCATCCGGTATGCATTGCCTTATACTAATGACCATTGATTTGTTATAAGGCGATGAAATATCACAGCATTGGCGGCGGGGAGGATTCATCTGGCAAAAAAATTTTCACGGAAACCAAAAAAAAAAAAAGTGAATTTTTAGGCCAAATTGAAAGATTATACTTTACTGAGAAGCGAGGTGTACATAAAAATTATACCTGTTCAACATCAAGCTCAAGCTTACGAGACAGAACTCGGATGTGTTCTAAACGCTTAACAGCTTCTGCTCTGTGGCAATTTCGGATACTATGGAGCTTATAGTTACTCCATGTTCCCTCAGTTCCATCTGATCCTACACTGTTGAGGAAAAAAACGAGCGGTCTCGCACATGGATCCCTGGGATATTCTCTTGTACTGAACATATAGTTGCTTTGCACCCCTGACCCTCTTCTCCATGTAGAAAATGTCTTTTGCACGGTGAGAAGATCCGGAAGGAGTTTATTGCCTTCGTAAACTTGAATCGCATAACCCCACACAACAGAAACAGTCACTGTGTTTAAAGAATCATAGCACACACTCTGCTGCAAAATCCTTCTTGAATCAAAACTTGCAGCCTTGATAAGATGAGCCACAGATTCTGTCCGGTTCGTTTTCGGAAAGAATGGATCAACTGCGTCCAAGTGATGAAGCGATACTAACAGAGATAAAGGGTGCGCACATAGCAGTCCGAATAAGTTCCCTCTTACATCGATCTACGAAAAGATCAGGTATATAAATTAGAGAACAAGAAAGGAACATACTAACTACACTATCCAATATCCAGCCAAATAAGGCAAGTAATGTAATGCTTTGGTCACTGTGCTAAACTTTCTAAATACAGAAATCTCTCAGTATCAATGTCACAGTGAACTATCAATTTCTTCAGATTAAAAAGTCAGAGAAAGATTTTTTTCCTTTTGTACCTGATGAAATCCAGGTTCATGAGTTAATGTAACACCAAGCTCAGCTAAGCAAGAGAAGATCCTTGAGTCACTTCCATACATGTGTGAATACCTCATCAAACAAGAATCCAAAACCTTAGCCAAAACCTTAGCAAGCGAAGCACTAATGGCGAATCCTCCTCCACCAAAAGCCATATCAAACGAATACCTAACGTTCTGATCATAAAACTCCGAATTACTTCCGACGTAATACCACTTCCGGTGATCGTACTTGGACAAAACCGTCACCAGATTATCCACAAAGAATACAGTATCATCATCACCGAAAACAAACCACCGAACGTCTTTATCTCCCCGATCCACCGTCTCTTTAACGACACGAGCCACACGGATCGCCGATCGAAGACCACCAGGGAAGTTATAAGGAAACCTAGAGACGTCTTTAGATACAATTACTGGAGGGAGACTGAGATCAGACTCGAATCCACCACGATCGAGAAACACGACGGCGCGTGTAGACTCAGGAGAGTACCAAAGACGAACATAGGAGCTACGTCGGAGCCAAGAGTCACGAGAGGCGGCGATCGAGAAGAGTAAGTGACGACGGCGAGTGGAAAACACGGAGAAGGAACGAGCGATCGATGAAATCTGCTCACGTCGGAAAGTACCA